GAAAGATCTATTATCCATCAACTGTACTGTCCCTCTCTTCCCTGCAAAGAATAATTTACTGAATTACATTTGCCCTCTTATCAATTATATTTTGGTGCATGCACATGATGTTAATGGATTTCCTCTGTGTTTTATAATATTGTATAAAAGAAAGAAAGGTGTCCAAGCACAATGCTTCATTTTATCAGTTTCTAAAAATAGCATTAAATTTAAGCTCACACATTAAAGAGGTGAGGAGTCCCATGGCACTTTAACTTGTCTCTCTAGATCATTTTGATGCTTGTGTCTTCCATTTAAAAGAATAATCTGTAAATGATTATCAAGAAAAGTTGTTTGTTTGCACTAATTAATCCTTAAACTTGGAAAAGTAATGTGGAACTAATTCCTTTTAACTAACTAATCAACATGTTCCATTCATAAATTGGGATTTATCAATATGGCACATGAAAGGAGCAAATATATTATTATTTCAATTTAAATAATATGCAAAAAAAGCTCTGTGTTTGTAATGACCTGCTTTCACTGAATATAATCAAGCTGCAAAGCTCTATTACAGGCTGGAAATAGCAGCAGCTTACTTTAATGAGATTGCTGGCTTTGGGCCCCAGCTGTTCTGTGCAGGGCTGTCCCCTTGCTCTGTGACCTACCAATATGTGCTCTCACCAATAATGAGACAGACCTGGTTTCCTAACATGGGGGAGAACTACTAGGCATGCCCCGACTTCCTCCCACCCCCATTTCAGGGAAGGCAAAAGTAGAATATTAAACGTGTAACCTCTCTTTTACTCAGCTTTTTTGCCTAAAGTAAGCCCCCCCCCCCCGGCCAGAAAACTCAGCATTTAAAATCTAGGATCTGTACTTGGCCCAAGTGTACTAAAGAAACACTGCCAGGTTGACTAGGTATTATGTGCCAGCACGACACCGTTTTGTATGGCTTTGTGTCTTACTCCTCTCCTGCACCACGGCCCTCTGGTATGTAACAAAACATGGGGCAGGAGATGATTTATAAATCATTTCCAATATGAGTTTGGATTCTCTGGATTTTTAAATTTTATGCCAAATGCCAAATTGCAAAGCTGCAATGGGAATGTGCCAGGAGGACCTGAAAACTCTGCACCTGATCTGCATAAAGCAGCAGACTGCAGATGCTCTTGTTGCTTATACAGGGATACAGCCTAGAGACTACTAGTCACAACAACCAATTATCCATCTTCATCAGAGCCGCCGCCTCAGTATGATCAAGAGAATCCAGGATTCTCATGCATGTAGTCACTGAACGCTCTGGCTTTGAAATCTCACACTGGACTTGCTGTAAGTCTTTGCTGGAAAACACTGAGCTAAATAGGCCATCATACGGTAGCAATTCAAGGGGCCTGAATTAAAGTCAAGAGATATAACTATGGTTTTCTATATCACACCAGGCAGTACTCAGAGGAAAATGAAGTACATACATGCTCTTTCATTTGCTGCTTCTTTAAAGCAAGTTGTATCCTCACTCTGGAGTCCCAGAGGCAGTTCGTGTCATTCTGTCAACTCCTGCAATGTTGCTGAAACCAGTTGTATTGGCTCTTGCCTTTCCATTGGACTATTTCAGTGATGTGGAGAGGGGGGATTTGCTGGTTGGGTAACAACCTATCCTCCATATTACTTTACCCAGGCTTCGTGCTCTGGAGAGGACACTGCAGCTTCGTGTACAGCGTCAAAACACTAGACGCTGTTCCAAGTCCTCCATACAGAGCATGTTACTACAGTCTCTCGAGATTGAAGAATGCCTATGAATATCCTCACTTTGTGCTTGTCTGTATAGGCTGCAATCCTGAATATGCTTACTTGGGAGTCAGTCCCACTGAAGTCAATGAGACTGACTTCTGAGTAGACATGTATAGGACGGTGTTATATATCACTAGGATACAGTATGTAGAGCCCTGCTCACTTTGGACCTGTCTTATTATTGTCTTGTTTTATCCGAGATACATATGCTAAGGCTGAGTGGAAAAGGATTCTTCCATGGAATTAACTACCTCAATTTTACATGTATTGGTAAGAGTAGCACCAGTCTGAAAATGCTACCCATTTCTGATTCTCAATTATTTATGCATTTGTTATATTATGTTACATGAGCTGTTAAACCTGAGGCATTTTTGCAGCATCAGGTAATTTTCAAGAAGCATATTATGTACAGCAAATCTCTTCCATTACATTAAAAGACTTGCAAATACCACCGCATGTGATGCTGTTCATTAATATTACATAATTACTACATCTGAAAATAGTTCTTTGGGCAGTAATGCCTTTTCTAAAAAATGAGGCACATGGACAGACACGCACACACAGACTTCAAGGCAGTGAATTTTGTTACATAGAACCTCAATGTAAGGTGTATCAACATATAGTACCTTACTGCAATCCTAGAACCGGAAAGGTGGCTTTTTAATTATGTTATTAATACTTATAAAAGTGCCTCGTGCACAATTTAAATGGCTTACTGAGTTTACAGAACTAGCCTTTTGTACTGCAGCAGCTGATCGCAGAAGCTGCACAATGTAGGAAACTGGAACTGCAGTTGCATCTTTCCTCAGACAAAAGACTTGTCTGTGAACAAAGAATTTGCATTGTGCTGCTGGGGCTCTGTGCTTACGATCCTGGTTAGTATTGTGTAATGTAGGTGGAGATAGTTTGTGGGGGGCATTGTGTGGAAAAGGATATGAGCTACCGCCCAGAAACCCTTGTTTGAACAAATGTATACTTTGCTACTTTTGACTGTCTGTCACATTCATGGGTCCCCCTAAGGTGCACGGCTGTGCTGCACCCCCTCTGTGCAGTGTTTCCCTTCTTCCGTGCAAGGAGTAAACTCTAGTGAGACTTATTTCCAAGTAAATGGGTAACTGTCAGGCATTTGAGTTTTGGTCTAAATCTGGCCTATTCTATATTTAGTTCCTGGTTGGTTGCTTGGAGATAACACAAGACAAAATGGATTGCACTTTTTCTTTCTCCAATTCAGGATGAACACCCCTTGTCTCCTGTGGCACGTTGTAAAACTCCAGAATATGCATCACTGGCCCTATGATCTTGATTGGCTTCTAATGCAAGCGTCATTGTATAACTTACACTCCCGCTATATTCTACTTAAAAGTATTCAAGTTATCTTCACCATCTATAAACATGAGTTGCAGGGCAAGAAGGATGAGTCTGAGGGAAAGAATCTGCTGGAAATCAATTTTATGAATTTATTAAATTTAGATCACAACAAATAGTATGCAAAATATCAAACAACAATTAAATACAAAATGAAATACAAAGTAATGATCAGAAGCATAAAAACATGCAAGATGAAATATCAGATGTAAAACAGCTTCAGTAACACATTATCTTCGGCATGATAAAAAAGCATTGTGTTGTTAACAGTTCTCCCTACCATCACCCTCCCTGTGATCAGAAACCAAGTAGCCACAGCATTGTTTAAAATGCTCTCTGTTGACTGACAAGAGCAAGAGCTTTCCTTTCCCTTGGTCAGATGATACCCTGACAAAAGGTACTTAGATTGCCTCTTTTTTGGCTTGAAATGAAAGGCACCTTGTCAGAGACCATTTTCTTGCAGACATGATAGGGCCCATCCACATGGTGTATGGATCACTGAGGGCATGGTTTAAATGGGGATGGGGGAGGCTTCATCTGCCAGTGTTTCTACTTGGAACAACCCCATTCTTTCCCTTTAAGAGCTGTTATGCACCTTTCTGGCCCAGTGGCAGGACATACATTCTTCTTGGTACCCTCACTATTCAGCCTGGAGATACCAGCCTGTAGCAGCCTTGGCCATCATGGCTGCAGGTTTTGGGGGAGGAAAGAGAAAGGGGGGGAGGCATAAAATGGAATGGCACTGACAGAGGGAGGAATGTAAAAAAATAATTCATTTCCCCTGGCCCTTGGCAGATGATTGGGGAAGCGTTTAATTGGCAGTCGACCAGGCTACAAGGGGTTGTTTGCTGTTCCAACAGGAGAAACACGCCAAATGGCACATCACCCTTCCCCCTGACCACAGCAAACCCTTGCAGCCGAATCTACCTCACACCCAAAACAGCCAGTCTGAACAGGCCTTTAAGTCTCCAACTTGAAAGGATATTATATTAGAGGCTTACAAGAGAAGGGACAGGGTTACAGATGTAAACAAACCAATGCCAGATATGGATATGAGAGTAGGGATGTGGGAAAGGCCAAGGTAGTTAAGAAATCTGAAAGATATTTTTTTTGGTGGTTCTGCTTTCTGTTTTATTGAATCTGAAAGCTTCTGATGTAACAAGCAAGGTATCATCAAGCCATGTCAATTCACCCTTTTAGTGCACAGAAACCCAATATGAGTGGTGCAAGGGACCATTTTCAAAATGGTGGGAGAAGTGTTAAGGAGGAGGAGCATGGAATATAAGACTCCTGGGTTTGCCACTTTCTCCTCCAATGCAGGACAGGAAGCATGTCAGCCATGGTTAACTGGCCAGTTTATCTGAGGACTCTCGGAAGAGGTGGGAAGTTGGTGGGTCTTGGTCCGTTCCAACAAGGCACTCATATAGTTTTCAAAAAGAGAATATGCTATGGGAATGCTACGTTAGCACATCTGTTTATTTATGGAACTGTATGCTTCTTGTTATAATAAAATCTCTAAGTGCTTTGCATTAAAAACATACAAAATACTATACAAAACCAACACAAAAGAATTGAAAGCTGTTTTAAAAATAATACCTTAAAATATATCATCAATATATAAATGGAAAATAATAATTACCAGCCACAGGAGGCCTGTGTAAACAAACACATTTCGAGGCACAGGACTGGCCTGAACTGTTCCCATTCCTTTCCATAAGTAACTTTCCATTTCCCTTAGAATTGTATCTGGCAAATTTCTTACATTGATATCACTTCTGAATGGGTAACTGCTACCAATTGCCACTGTAGTTCATTAAGAAGTGTGCATATTTCACTGTGTGCACCTCTTATGGTGGTATGCAGTGTGGTGTAGTGGATAGAATGATGGACTAAGGACTCGGGAGAACTAGGTTCTGATCCATGTTCAGCCATGGAGACTCACTGGAAGTGTGGAACTGGTAGAATCACTCCTTAAATACCTCATCTACCTTGAAAGCCCTATTGGGGTCACTACGCCAGCTTTGACTAGATGGCACATAACCACCACTTCATATGCTACATAAAGGAGTGTCCTAATATGACCATATGTCAGCCTGCAACTCTTAGGTATGACAGGAAACATAGAAGATGCATACAATTTTCTGTGTGGAGTAATATCTAAATAAAAAATTCATGTGTGAATTTGGCCACAGAGTCTTGTTTCAGAGGGAGGGAAGAATATAAATAGAAAAAAAGGTGTTAACAATCTTCAGTGAATACCAAACTACTGAACAGAATTTATAATGGACCCTGCAATTTTCCCAGGCACATAATCCAACTTTTCTACCACTTTGCAAAGAAATGTTGTGGGATGTCTCATTAAAAAACAACAACACACAATCAAATACTGGATCTCAAAATTTTGCAAAACTATGAAAAACTGCATTATAAGCCTAATTTATGAGCTTTTTTCTTGCAGAATGATGAACAGAATATTTGCTGAGTAGTCTTGAGAAATTTAGTGATACTGCTACTAATAGATGTTGTGATAGAAAAGCAAAGCAAGACGGGTAGAATGGCTGGAGGAGGGATATGGATATATACAGTGTAGCAAAAATACATCTGGCACAGCACCAAGGTACAGTGATTTGCTTTAGCTTTTGCAAATTCACTTTGCATAATAGCACTCTGGTTTACTAATCTTCCTGGCATATCTGTAATAAGCATCTATACTTGCAGGCACTTTGGGATGGACTGAGAAAAGTCTTTAGAGATTACTGGTTATGGCTCAATCTTTTAAAAGTTGATTTGCAGCCCTCTCTTTTTCTTTCTTCTCTTTCTCCCTCTTCGCCTTTTCCTTTTTTTCCTTCTCCTCCTTTTCTTTCCTCTCCTTCTCTTTCTTCTCCTTCATCTTCTTCATCAACATCAACATCTTTGGTTTCTAAATACCTGCATTAGAAGAAGAAAAAAAAATCCAAATCTCCATTGGGAACAACCAGACATCCATAGATTTGAGAAGTATTTTTAATTTATTCTAGTTTGAGCAATGTTATCCCCATCCCTAGTTCTCTTAACGGCAAGAAGTATGCATGCATGCACTTATGCAGGTGAACTAAAGTCAACTGGAATGGGACATTTTCAGTCAGACAACTACAAAGTCTTTTAACTTTGGAAACTACAAAGTAGGATATAAAACAGAAACAAGTGTCCAGAAACGAAGCAGAATGACTTGTAGTGTGAAGCCAACAATCTGTTTATTGCAAATACATGCTTTAAGCAACTGAACAGAAGACTGTACCCATGATTATCACCAGATAGTCAATGCAGAAATCAAACAGACTACGTAACTGGAAGCAGGAGATGGAGAAATTGTATTCTCTCTGCCAAAACAAGACCAGAAACAGATTGTGGTACTGTTCATGAACTATTATTAGCAACTATAAGAGCAAAGCTTAAGAAGAGTGCTAAAGGATGCCTAATGCCAAAATATAATTTAAACAGTATTTCTGATGAATTTTAAGTCCACAGAGCAGATTTCCTTTATTGAACTCAACTGTGAACCAAAAGAACTGTGAATGAAAATCAGATATATTATCAGAGAAGAATGTGAAAAAAAAATTCTGTAGCTAAAAGAAAAGAAAAACCTAGATGGATGATGGAAGAAACACTTAAAATTGCAAACAACAGCCAAAAATCAAAATTAAAAAAATGTCAGAAGTACAGTCAGAATGCTGAATGCAGCTTTTCAGATTCTCTGTCTCTGCATGGTACAGAGAATTATTACAATAGTTGTGCAAAGAAATAGAGGAGAACGAAAGAGGAAAAACAAGAAATCCACTTCCAGAAGATCCAAGAAATTGAAGGGAAATTTAAGACAAGAATGCTGAAAGACCAATAGGGAAGCACACTATCTGACCAGGATCAAATACAGTGGTGCCTCTCTAGACGATGATAATCCGTTCCACTGAAATCGCTGTTTAGCGAAATCATTGTCTAGCGAAAAGCATTTCCCTATTGGAATGCATTGAAACCTGTTTAATGTGTTCCAGTGGGGAAAAATCGTCGTTGTCTAGCGAAAATCAGCCATAGGAAAGCTGCTTTGCGAACTGCCAATCGCTGTCTTGCGAAGCTTATGTCCCGAAAACACTTGTTTTGCGAGCGCGGAGGGAGCTGTCAAAATTGTTGTCTAGCAAAAATTGGTCCCTGCAGGGACCAAATATTGTCCAGCGAAATTCCCCCATAGGAATAACTGTTTTGCGAATCGCTATTGCAATAGGAAAAAGTCAATGTCTAGCGAAAAAATTGTCATGCGGGGGAACTGTTTAGCGAGGCACCACTGTAAAGAGAAAGTGGAGAGAGGATACTGAAGCTCATACAGAAGAGATAAAAGGATGGCAGATTCCTTTGAAGAGGAATCTTACAACAAAGAATCGTCAATTCTAGAAAGTGAAGTGAAATAGGCTTCTGAAAGCACTGGGAAGAAATAAATCACAGAGCTACATGGGCTACCGATAGAACTATTTCAAGCCACAGACTGGGAACACTCAATATGCACTCAAATCCCTAGGAAAGAAGATGCCAAGAATGTAGTAACTATAGGACCATTCCTCTAATTTCTCATGCAAGCAAAGTGATGCTCAGGGTGATGAAACAAGGGCTTTTTCCTTATATGGAATGAGAAATGCCTGATGTTCAAGATGGATTCCAAAAAAAGGAAGATACACCTAAGATCATACTGCAAATGTCCTCTGGCTACTGGAATACACCAAAGAATTTCAGAAGATCAGGCTATGACAGCAAAACGTTTGACTGTGTGGATCACGAGAAGTTATGGATTGTTCTGAAAGAAATGGGTGTGCCTCAGCACTTGACTGTCCTCATGTGTAACCTGTATTATGGGCAAGCAGCTAATGTTAGGACAGAATATGGAAAGTATGGTTCACCATACACAAAGGTGTCAGGCAATCAAGCATTTTATCACACTATGTGTTCAATCTATATGCAGACTATGTCATATGGAAAGCTGGACTAGATTCAGATGAGGGAGTGAAAATTGGTGGAAGACACATGCATAATTTATGATATGCAGATGACACCATCTTACTGGGGGAAAGAAGCACTGACTTGAAATGACTTTTGGGGAAACTGAAAGAAGAAAGTGCATACTGTAAGAGTAGAACTGCAGTTGAAAATTAAGAAGAGAAAAACAAGACTGAGTCTAGGAAGGATAGCAATGAAGGAATTGGAAAAGATAATCAAGTGTAAGGACCAAGATCTTCCACCCTATTGCATTTCTAATTATCATGTATGGGTGTGAAAGTTGGACAGTTAAAAAAGCTGACAGGAAAAAAATGATTCGTTTGAAATGTGGTGTTAGAGAAGAGCTTTGTGGATACCTTGAACTGCCAGAAAGACAAACAAGTGGGTCCTAGATCAAATCAAGCCTGAACTATCTCTAGAAGCAAAAATGTTGAAACTGAGGCTGTCCTACTTTGGACTCATAATGAGAAGGCAGGATCTTCTGGAAAAGACAAAGCTGGGAAACTGAGAAGGCAGGATCCTCTGGAAAAGACAAAGCTGGGGAACACTGAAGACAGCAGGAAAAGAGGAAGACCCAATATGAGATGGACTGGCTCTCTAAAGGAAGACACAGGCATGCATCTACAAGAGCTGAGCAGGGCTGTTGAGGCCAGGATATTTTTGAAATTGTTCATTCGTATCATTACCATACGTTGGAAGTGAATATGCTATAAGCAGCATGCTTTGCTTTTACGGCACAAAACAACACAACTGATGGTGCTATTGATGGAAAAAAGAAAAAGGGCTTTCTCAATAACTACCGTACCTTAGCTTGAATACTCTGCTCTGGAAGGCTGGGTTGGCATTCTTTTAGATAGCATTCTGCCATATGCATGCTTGTTTTATGAGTTTTATCTTATGTTTTATCTAGCTTTTATTATATTGTAGTTGTTTCAAAGTTTTATGATATTTTATTATTTGTTTTAGTTGCTGTTAGACACCCTGAGTGATATATACAGTAGGTGCCAGACTGGTGAGATGTGCTGTTTTTGTTAAACAAGCAAGAAAGGCCACATTAAGATTTTTTGGACTTCTAACCTTATTTTCCTATTATTAGCTGCAAACTGTTCTGAAAAAAGGGATTAAAAAGTATACTAAATATGCCTTTAAAGAAAATATTTACTTGCTTGATACACAGGGCTGTTTATGCTGGGCAACAATAGGTAACTGTCACTGATGATAATATGTTTGTATTTACATGGAGGTAAATCCTACTGAAGTAAATGGGACTTACACAAAGTAAATGGCACTGCAAGATCGCTCAGCAAAATGAGTTTTGTTACATCAGTGATTCTGGATTATGACAGCATTATGTGTCCTGGTTTTATCATTTTTAGAAACCAAACCACGTGACATTCACTTTCTCACGCAACATTCCTGCACATCATACTGCTAAAGATGAATCAAAACTTATTATCTTTTGCATACCTGAATTATTGTAATTAAAAAAAAATCATTGCCATCCAATGCAAAAGCTACATAATCTTCTAGCAAATGCCTTGCAGCTCTAACTCAGTGGGACCTAGAAATGGATGGTGACATTTGGTACTACTAAGTGAGTTCTATTTTTAGATTGTCAAGAAAGGAGATTTTCCAGAATTGCCTGCTACTTTTTCAGTTTCATCTTGTATGTGTTTGAATGTAAACGGAAAAAAACTCCTCTGAATATATATGGCAACCGTTACAAACAAATCCAATGAATTTTAACTCTGACATGCCCTGCTGTGTTAAATACACAGGATGAGACCTTATTTATCCCTACTGTGTAACCTACTGTGACAAATTGCAACAAGAGTTCTTTCCCATTTCCTGCTGCCTGATTCTTTGGTGATACCGTGTTTCCCCGAAAATAAGACCTATCCTGAAAATAAGCCCTAGTATGATTTTTCAAGATGCTCGTAATATAAGCCCTACCCCAAAAATAGGCCCCAGTTAAGTGAAGCTCCGCCCTCCACTATTGTACAGAAACCAGAACATGACATGACTGTAAAATAAAACATCCCCTGAAAATAAGCCCTAATTCGTTTTAGGAGCAAAAATTAATATAAGACCCTGTCTTATTTTCGGGAAAACATGGTACCAAGGAGTAGACCTCAAAATATCTACATGTAATATAAGACCCTGTCTTTTTTTCGGGAAACACGGTACCAAGGACTGGACCTCAAAATATCTACATGCAAAACATTCTATTGAGCTACAACTCCTCCCCTTACAATCGTAGCCTTAAACGCTTCTGCTCATTTATGAAATGCAAAGGAGGGCTCCAGGGATCTCTTCACTTGCAGTTACTCCCTCATTCAGACTACTTTAACATAGGTCCAAGTAACACTGCTTTCCACTTGTAAACATCATGTATCCTCCACTACATACCATTTTTCTTACCACAAAATATCTGTAGATGGAGTGAGGCCCAATGCCATTTATTTGTTACTGCTAGGAGGTGTCTGCTTAAAATTACCCCTCTTTTCAGAGCCCCTCTTTTTTGTGTGTTTGTATTATCAGGGCAACAATTTGTTCAAGTCTGTTAAATGCTCATCAGTCAAAGCACTTCTATTGTCTCAGAAGTCCCACAGGTGTTGGGGATTCCCATTGGGAGGGCTTGTACTGAAGGTTCACGAGATCCTAATTTGAAGGTGGGGGACTGAAATGCATGCTCTAATTCAAAATAAACAGAGCAGAAAAAAGGCAGAAATTTGGGGGAAATTTTATAATGAGAATTGCAGAGCTGGACAGGACAGAGTGGTATAAATATACCAGATGGGCGGGATATAAATCAAATAAATAAATAAATATTATGGATTGAGTCCAGCCTCTATCAAGGAGGCACAGTGAAGAACCAAACTCCCAATATCTGTCTCTGCAGCCAGAGA